AGTAGGTCTGGGGGTGGGGCCCTGGATTTTCATCAAAATTGTAGAGCATTTTAAGGTGAGTACCTGAGGGAGAACTTAAAGACATCTTATTTGGGGAGTAGTCCTTTTGAACTGTACAGCCAGATGTATTCTTCAGTCAGATAAAATTTATGGGAGCCGGTGTCTTATGCCTGACTCTTGGTAATTTCATACCTAAGAGTCTGAAAGTACATGTGCCCATGCCTAAAGCCTTGACTTTAAGAATGTTGTCTTTTGATTCTTCTATCTTGATTTAATTAGGGGTGAAATTTGGAAGTCTTAGTAGTGTAACTTTAAGATGTTAAACAAAAATCTCAAAATGAAAAGCAAATATGGGCTACTGAATTGTGAAACTGGCATTCTATTATTAAATCCTTACTTCAGGAGCTTTAAAAAATACTGAAAGACCCCCATAACCAGAGATACAGATTAAAAGATTGAGGATAGGACCTTAGCACTGTAGCTTTTTAAAGTTTCTAATGTGCACCCAGGGTTGAGAATCACTAATGAGGGGGGTGAAAGCGCCTACAAAGGGGTTTTAGTGCCTTAGAAGTCATAAGAAACCCAATCTGTATGAAAGCAGATCCATTTTGTAAGGAATGATTTCTCTCAATAAGAACTTTAGAAGTAATTGTGACAGTAAGAAGCAAGGACAGTCTAACGGCAGAGGCAACTTAAATAACTCCAAAGCAGTTGGCACTAGAACAGAATACTTGGAATGACACCAAGCTTAACCAAGTCCAGCATATGTCCAGAGTGTTAAGTGTTTCAGTTACTGTAGCATTCTGGGTGAGAAATTGGTTGCTGAAATCTTAAGACAGTGGCTCTCAATCTTGGCTGCACATTGGATTCACCTGTAGGGTTTTAAAGCATCCCAAATGGTAACTAACATGCAGCCAAACTTGAGAACTAGTTCTGCATCTGCTGTACAAAGATCTGATTGACTGGTCAGATACTGGTAGAACAGAACAAGTAAAAGATTAAGAATTTGAAACCAATTTAACATGTATTGTTATCGAAACATAAATAAATAAAAAGGCCTGGACCAGCCTGGGCAACATGGTGAAACACCATCTCTACAAAAAATTTTTAAAAAGTTAGCCAGGCATGGTAATGCATGCCTGTAGTCCCAACTGCTCAGAAGACTGAGGTGGGAGGATCACTTGAGCCTTGGAGGTCAAGGCTGCAGTGAGTCATGATCATGCCACTACTCCAGCCTGGGCAACAGTGAGACCATCTAAAAAAAGAAATCCTTCCATTGAATGGAAACTTAAAAAAGTCCTTCATAAGATCATGGCATTAGCTACTTTAGCAAAATAGTGTAAGAACATTGGTTCTGAGTAAAAGTGACTTCTCTACCAGTTGTGAATGTTATTATGCTGATAAAACTGCCAAGATATATTTGATAGGCAGGGATTAAACTCATGGTTTGTCAATGGTGTTTTTTTCCTAGTTTTATTCTTTTTTTTTGTTTTGTTTTGTTTTTTTTGAGACGGAGTTTCGCTCTTGTTACCCAGGCTGGAGTGCAATGGCGCGATCTCGGCTCACCGCAACCTCCGCCTCCCGGGTTCAGGCAATTCTCCTGCCCCAGCCTCCTGAGTCGCTGGGATTACAGGCACGCACTACCATGCCCAGCTAATTTTTTGTATTTTTAGTAGAGACGGGGTTTCACCATGTTGACCAGGATGGTCTCGATCTCTTGACTTCATGATCCACCCGCCTCGGCCTCCCAAAGTGCTGGGATTACAGGCGTGAGCCACCGCGCCCGGCCCTAGTTTTATTCTTAACAGATGTTAAGAGGTATTCATATTTGTTTCCTTTTGTGGTTTTAATGAAGACAATTTGTAAAGAATGTAATACTGTTATGTGTATGTTAAATCTTGGTAAATACTAATTAGTTTCTTCATTTGTAGACTTGTTTTGCAATGACATATATTTTTACTTATAAGAATACCAGTTTAGGTGAGGTGTGGTGGTTTACGCCTGTAATCCCAGCACTTTGGGAGGCCAAGGTGGGTGGATCAAGAGGTCAGGAGATAAGACCATCCCTGCCACCATGGTGAAACCCCACCTCTACTAAAAATAGGCTGAGGCAGAATTGCTTGAACCGGGAGGTGGAGGTTGCAGTGAGCTAAGATTGCACCACAGTGCACCAGCCTGGTGACAGGGCAACTCTGCCTTAAAAAAACAAAAACAAACCCAGCAATTTAGGCTGGGTGCGGTGGCTCACACCTGTAATCCCAGCACTTTGGGAGGCTGAGGTGGGTGGATCTCTTGAGGTAAGGAGTTTGAGACCAGCCTGGCCAGCATGGTGAAACCACTTTACTAAAAATTCAAAAAATTGCCAGGCATGCTAGCGGGTGCCTGTAATCCCAGCTACTGGAGAGGCTGAGACTTGATAATTAAACTTGGGAGATGGAGGTTGCAGTGAGTAGAGATTGCACCACTGCACTCCAGCCTGGGCAACAGAGTGATACTGTGTCTCAAAAAAAAAAAAAAAAAAAAAAAAACCCAATTAAAAATGTTGCTGGTATTATATCCAACCTACTTTGGATAAATTTTCCAGTAGGGCATCTGAAATTACTTTGGCAAAACCAAAACAGGTTATCAGTATACCAAGGATATTAAGTAGTTTTAATGCAATTACAGTATTACTTTTTTACTGGGAGAAAAATACTAGCAGAGCCTGCTACTCCAGACACATTAGGTAGTTTTATGCAACTATAGTGTTAAAGAAGAGTTTTATTGGAAGAAAAAAAAAGCTCTACATGTCAGAGCTTGCTGCTCCAGACCATTCTATTTTTTTTTTTTTTAACACAGACTGGTAAAAATGATGCAGGGGCTGAATGAAAAGCCACCTCTGCTCCAGTGGTTCTCTAGCTGAGTTGAGCATGCTTGTTACCTGCAGGACTAACATCACTGGGCTCCACCTTGTTTGTTTATTCAATAAGTTTATTGTGGGACACAAGAAGTTACATTTTGTAAGTTCCCCTGTGATGCTGCTGTTCTACTTATGGAAATCACACTTGAAGTAGTTCTAAATTCAGCTCTACATTGCTGCAAAAGAAAAAAGTCAGTGAAGATTTACGAAGAATAAGTGTATGGGACTTCACATGAGTTCTCCTTACTGAGATTGTTAGTTTGATCCCTCTGGTTGTTCTTTTGTTGCAAACATTTTCTATAATTAGGAAATGCCATTTAAGAGTGAGAGAGGTATATATATATATGCCATTCATTGTGTTTGGTGTTTTACAAGAACTGTGTATATTTCATTCTGTACAGTTTTAAAGTGAATCATGATTTGCAGGCTTTTTATCAGATCACAAAAAAATCAGCCTTAAGCATTTGCTTGGTAAGATTTCTTAAGATTAGGTTTATAATACAACCATCTGTAATGTATCTCTCATTTGAGGTTGTGGGCCATAAAATTCATTAACTAGATGAATACATTGTGGACAGCATCCTCACTACCCTTCTCTACTCACAAAGAACCACAATACACTGGAATGTTTTCCTTTGGAATCTGCTTTCTACTCTTGTATTAAATTTTTCCCCCACTTAATGATTATGTTCAAAATAAACAACTACATCACCATTACTTTCTGTCTTTTGCTTCTGTTGTACTATATTTGGAATGTAGATGTACTTGGGAAAGTCAGACTAGATCAGAGTTACTCTTAAGTTTTGAAAATTAATGTCTTAGAAGAAACTCATTCATGTTTGCAACTTCTTTATCTGTTTAGTGTTGAAAGATGGACATTATCACACACTGAGCATTTCTCAATAACTAAAATGAAATAAATAAAGATGGACAAAAGGAATCCTTGCCATGTTTCACATTTAACAAGATTCGTCCACTTTAATGCATAAAACCCTTTTAAATCAGTGTCAACCAGGAAAATTCATGTCAGAAAAAATCAGAATGAGAGCTAATATTCTATATTCAGAACATCTGAGAAAACATTTTTGACTATTACAAAAGTTTATTTAGCAAAAAGTCTAATATGAAAATGTACATGACCTAATTTTTACATCATAGTAAAACAGGCCCTATGGAGAGAGGACATGGGTTTCTCCGCTGAACAGCCATTATTTATACTCGTTCCAAGGCTTCTAACATGATGATACTATTTCCTCGTATTACCTAAGAAAGAGAAAAGTAAATTTGAAAAGAACAACTCATGTCACAGACATATCAATGATGATTTAAGAATTTTCACCAAATCATTAATGGTTTTTCAATATTACACGTTGGTTTTTAAAGCTCTGTTCAGGCAACAGGGACACCAAACACAACTAAGCCCTTTATAAGAGGGACATCTTCTAGATTGAAGGCTAACAATTAGCTTTATGAGATTCTAATGTCAGGTCTCCAATGACTAATTTCACCTTTTTTTTTTTTTTTTTTTTTT